CTTAATCAAGTCTAACAAGAGTACATTTGTAATGGGTTACATCGCAAGTACTTACATGTACATACTTACAAAATATCGAAATAACTGCAAATGGTCAAATTGCTGTTGCATTTTCGCAGATTCAACGTCTTTGGCAAACTGATTCGAACTGCAAACAATCCATGAACCAACCGAAACATAAAAGAAGAAACTCGTGGAGAATATTTTAAGCTGAACTAAAACGGCGCTGAAGTCGATGTCAAAGGCCGCTGATTGGACGGCTGACTCTCCATCCGACCAATTGCCGGTCATCTGTCAAACGCGGGATGCCTGAAAAGATATATTGTATAATTTTAAATAAATAAGTAATAACTAACATATTTTGTCATCGACTCTTGCAAAAATTGTCAAAATTGTTGTAGATATCGATAAAAAAATTTATCGAAGCCGGGGATAATAATTAAAATAGACGATCTCATAATTTAGAATGAAAATTCAACACCAAAATTTTATTCATAATTTCACGCGCCCCATATTTTAATGCGTATGTGTATTTTGATATACATTTTATAAATGCACATAAAAATATAAATGGAATTCTGCTACGAATTTCGTCGCAAATTTTGAATACCTTTAATCCAGTCTAACAAGAGTACATTTGTAATGAGTTACATTGCAAGTACATACATGCACATACTTACAAAATATCAAATTGATGTTGCATTTTCGCAGATTCAACGTCTTTGGCAAACTTATTCGAACTACAAACAATCCACGAATCAACCGAAACATAAGAGAAGAAACTCGTGGAGAATATTTTAAGCTGAACTGGAACGGCGCTGAAGTCGACGTCAAAGGCCGCTGATTGGACGGCTGACTCTCCGTCCGACCAATCAGCGGTCATCTGTCAGACGGCCACGCGGGACGCTTCTCCGCATGCGTGGCAACGTTCGTGGCGAACCGAGCGGGACGAGGGATCCAGGGACATCCTCTCCTCGAGGTGCATGACGTAACGAAGTCGTCGTCTGGCGCGGTGTTTCTTAGTGGCCATTTTGTTTCCAACCGCACGTCTGATTAAGGTATTACGCATACAGATAAATTAGCGTTACTTAGGCGGTCCAGCGAGACGCTCGACGAGACGGTCGTATCCGCACGTGCGGTGAGATAGGAGGGTATCGCCATCCCCGGTAGTAGATCTCGAGGGAAGTCGTCGATGACACGGCTCTTGCGTTCGCTTCCACCTTCCTCTTGTCTACTCATCCTGATACTCGACACCTGGATCCTCCGGTAACGTCATCCCCTCGCCGGGCGAGTTTTTCATCCAGTTGATTTCCTGAAAGACGAGAAATTTTCAAGATTATCATGTGATTTGATCAGTATTCGAGTCTAAATCTCTTTCTGGGTCCTGGACCTAGTTTTGATTGTCATTGCATCTTTAGAGATTTATACCTGTGGTGCTGTAAAAGAGTATATATTACGTATGAGCAAAGAGCTTTTTGAGATACGTTCCTTCTTGCCTCGAGACACACTGCCAGAGTACAATCATCATGCTGTATACTTGTAACGGTAGAAATTGTATGATAAATTGCAGCTTGGTGATTGCAGGCAATGCCCTTGGTTCGATAGCGAGCGTCCTCTCTTTCTCGCTGCCTATCCATTACCTTTTGTTGGTTCCGTTTGAGCTATCAGACTACATTATACTCTCTCGCTCTAAGTCCGCCTGTCTCTCTATCTCTCTCTCTCTCTCGCGCGAATGCACACTTAAAAAGCCCAAGTCAGATGAAGGCGCGAAGATCCGGAATGAGCTGTGTAACTCATGGAAGGCAGTTTCTATCCTTATAGGTGTCCATCCTTCGGTCTTTTGGCCCGGCATCGTGATGGACTCAAAGCGGTACGAACGCAGCACCAGGTCGAATACCGAATCGCCACCTGCTCCGCCTTCGCCTCCTATGTATAGCACAAGTTACAGCACGTCACACGACAACCACAAGAGCAGAGTCAGTTCGCGACGTTCGCCCTCGCCGAGCATCGATCATCATCGGAGCAGTAGATCCTCGCGGAACAGCTCGCCGCTTCAGGAGCGACGTAAGCGTCGTCGAAGCGGTTCCAGGTCGTCCCCGGTACGCTCCCACAGACGGTCCAGATCCAGCGACAAGGACCGTGATCGCGACAGAGACAGATCGCGTAAATATTCCAGAAGAGACAGATCGCGATCGAGGTCGCGAGGCAGGTCTCGCTCGAGGGACAAACGACGAAGTCGCAGTCGTAATCGCAGCAGGGACAGGCACAGGTACAGGGAGAGCCGCAGGCATCACACGAATAGGGCACCCTCGTACGAATCCGACGCTTTGGACGAGCATGGAGAGGGAGCGGGGACGGTGATGCATCAGACAGCGACTGTTGTACCGCCACCGAACGCCTTCAAGAACGATGGTAGCTTTATGGAGATGTTCAAGAAGATGCAGGAGCAAATGCAGCCTGCGGCGCAGAAACCTACCACTTCGTCTGTCCTAGAGGAGAAGCCCGTAGTACCTCCACCGTTGATGGTGGGCAAGAGAAGAGGTGGCAGGATTCTAAAGACCGGCATGGTGGCGAAACCAAAGACAGAACAGACGGTGGAGCAGCCGAAGGACGCGTGGTCGCTGTACATGGCGGAGGTGAAAAAGTATCGCGAGGTTTGCTGCCAGGAGGAGGACAACACGCGGCCGTTAGTTAAATAACTTGGACACTTGGCGTCAGCCCTTCTTTATATACATACTTAGCTCATTAACTTTCTTCTATACTAAGACACTTGTAGCTTTATTCTTAAGAAAATCGCGGAACAAATACCGCTTCTGGAGGCATCCTTTATTTTTCGTTTCACCGCGAGCTTCATGTTCATTCAAGTTCAGCGTTATAAGATTTCTCTGTAAGGATTTCTCTGAAACAGATGAAAAGATATGACGGTGAAGGGAAAAGTGGCCGAGAGAAGCGAACTTATTTGTGATATAGTGTCGCGTGTGCTTTGAGAGACGAATGGACGAGAGCGAGAGAGAAATATAAAATTTACTTTTACGCAAAAAGAAGGTAGAAAGAGGAAGAGAGGAGTCGAGATACAAGACGCGAGAGAGTCTGTGCTAAGATTTAGAGATTAAATAATTTATGACTTGTTGAGCAGTGTCCTATATTGCTGCAAACATGACGAAATTTACGGATCTCACCGAGGCTACAATGCAAACTGCACCGTACGATCCTAGGTTTCCTAATCAAAATCAGACCAGGTAAGAATAAAAAACGCTCCGGTTTTAATCGGTATCAATGTATATCAAGAATGTAACACGATTAACTTTTTATCGCATCTAAGAATTTAATTCCTTTATAATAAAGTGCAATATAATTAATATATTTTCACATATTCTTTTTATCATATTAAAGTGGCTCATGCATCACACGTATAGTCTTACTTATTATCAAAATTTAAAAGGAAGTTATCCAGCTCTCTCTCTTTAATTTATTATTTTATAAATTATTAGGGGGAAAAGGAAATGTACGTTATGTATATAAGAACCGTGCAAGTAGAATAATCTGAAAATAAAGATATATAATATTAATAACATTGACATATTTTATCATTACAAGCGTGATGAAATTATATTTATATCATTGTTGCACTATATTTATAATTAGATTTTCTTCAGTTACATATTTTCATCAGAAACGCAGTGCCAAATATACGTGTAGAGAAACCTGTGCATAAAAACAGAAAGAAAAACAGATACACTATTTTGCCTCACTAGTCTCAATCAAGATAGCACCTGTAATTGAACGTAATGATCTGTAGATACTGTTACCAGAGCTACGTAGACTTCCAGCGATGCAAGAAGAAGCACAATGAAGAATACGACGCCTGCCGATATTTTAAGAGGGTTTACAAATCGATGTGTCCACACGCCTGGGTAGAAAAGTGGGACGACCAAGTCGACGCAGGCACGTTTGCTGGTCGCATCTAGGATTTCCTTGCAGTTACATCGCGCGTCAGCTTTTCATCATAGTGAATTGTTTAATAAGCGAAGAACAGGATTCTAGGATCGCGTGTCATTTCCTGTTTGTAAAATAACTCGTACCTAAATAAATTTAATGATACTTCAATCTTTTATCGTTCTCTCGTCATAACAAGATTTCCCGCAATGACGTTGTGATAGACGCGATCGCGCAAACACACGTACTAGTTACACTCCTCTCTTCTAATTGTGAAATATATCCAGACACTTCAATTGTACAATTCAAAATTTTTCTTTCGGTACTCTGTAACTCAATAATAACACGCGCTCACAAATTTTGCTAAGTTTAGTAGATGTAATTCAATATAAAAATATTCAGTACAATATTAATTTTTTTTCTCAATTTATCCTTTCAATTTAATCGACGCTTCCTATAAATCGCGTTCTTCACATAATTAACATTGATTATTCTCTGACGCAATAAACAACACATTCTCTGCATAGTTTTAAATAATAAATATTAAAGATTCCTATTTGATTTCCGGAGATGTAAATAGTTGAAGACTTCAATAAAAATGTAAGTTTGCAATAAAAAAAAAATAAACAATAAAGAGATAGGCAACAAGAAAAATAATCTTATTGTATTGACTAAAAGAATATGATATTGCTTCAATTCAAAATAACATGAATGATTTTAGAAAAAGAATCATTAATATTTTTCAAGCTATCAATATTTGCGATAACATCTGGTTATCACTAAATTAAATAAAATGATTATATAATTAATCTATATTGATATTTACAGATATGAGATTTTTGACAAGATAGAAAGCAGGATCGATTGCAGCCAAGAAAAGTGCGATCGATTATGTACTATCGATAAACTTATTTATATTGATATTTATTGGTATACAATGTTTAATAAATATCTATATACACATTAAATTGTAAACATAAATATATTGCAGATATCATTATCTTGACGAGCTAATTGTCGTCATATTTCGCGCAAGTAGAAAGTGGAAAATCAAATGGGATCTCTTCATGTACACCTTTCAAACTAATTAACGTATTATTTAGTTATTACCTATAACTTGCGTGATTAATTACAAGTCTTTGTTGGACACATTGACATCTAGTCATGTTCTTCGCAGTTGCCTATGTTATACATGTAACAGAATATAATCTAAATCACTTACTTATGTATCTATCTACGCACAATATAGTTTAATATACAATGTATTTATTAAACAATGATCGAGAGCGAGATGATAAACACATAAAACTGATAAACATGAGAAAAGAAAGATGATGAGAAAGGAAAGTACAGGTATATCGTCAATGATGGAGGCCAGTGACCTTCAGCTTCTTTGGCCGAATTGTCCGACCAATCTCGCTGTCAGAGGACTCCGATTCGGTGTCGTTGTAATCACCTACTGATTCAGACTTTGTTACCTCACATGTTTCGGCGGCAAAGTTGCCAGTAATCTTGGCCTTTTCTAACGAACGAACTGCAAGAATAAATCAATCGTTAAACAATAAAATTCGACTTCTGCATTTTCTACAATCACGATAACAGTAATATTTGTTATTTTATAATAGAGATCGTGTACTCTGGACATGTATATACTATACATTGATATATAACTTTTTCCAATAACTTGTCTTTGAAAAATAATTGCCTAAAATATTGAAAGTAGTGTCTACAAAATAAGTAAAAATAGAATAAAAATTCGATACAATCTTCTATAAGATATTACAGATCTTCTAGTGGTTCTGAAATAACTTTTTAGATTAAAAAATATCAAAGCATGAGTTTTTGTTGAGATGTAAATAATTGAGAAGGAAGTGTTTTTGTAAACTAGGTATCTCTCTCCTAAAAGCTATTAAAACTATATTAATTTCAAATTAATTTGAACATCATATCTATAAATAAATTACAGTTTTTGGCAAATTTCTTCTTAATGCTTAATTTGAAAACTCGTATCAATATTTAAATATTTCTATATTTATATTAATATTTCAATATTTCTATTAGTGATACTATAATTGATCAAAAACAAATTGCTATTCTTTGTTTATGCACAAATATACGAAAAGGCTACCTACTTTGAGATTCCAGAAGACTATTCTGTCTCTTGAGATCATCTATGGCTTGCTGATTAGTAGCATTCTTGCGTCGCATGAATTGAATGTAATCTGCTGCTTTCTTCAGAATTTGCGCCCTGCTAGCAACTTTCTCTCCTTGAAGAAATGGTACTGAATCCCTGAGACTCGAGAAGCTATCTTTGATATGGTCACGTCGCTTCCGTTCCAAAGCATTGTGATGTGCTCTTTTCTCCGCCTAGCATTACAGACATTATCAGCTATCTGCTCTTTTGCTAAATCATCTCTTAGCTAAAGAAAACTAACTATAAGAAATCTAAATACAAAAATAAAGAGTTACCCATATGAAAAGACACAGAGCTTTACATTTTTATATTAAATGGCGTGCAGAGAAAATCAGAGTATTATTCTATAAAAATAACATCGATTGATCACTATTATTATTATATATTGTTTATGCATGTCACGAGAATTTGTTATTCATTTTTTCACTCCACTCTTAACAAATCAAGTCTTATGCTTGTTTTTTCAGAAATCTGAAAAACTTGTTGCATCTACAGCATTAGCATCATCAGATTCGTTGGTCATGACAATTCAAAAATATTCAGAAATATTCCTGAGAAATATCATGCGATGAAAATCTTGACAGGACTGAATAAACTCAATTAAGGTGGCAAGGATGATCGATCGTGACGCTCACCTGGGAAAAATACTGCGCGTTGTTGGAATGCCGTAACCTGGAGTCCGAATCTTCCTCCTGGGAAACAAAGGATACGTGGATAATTTGGAAAAATATTTCTCACGCAAAATATTTCGTGCTATTTACATCGCTCTCGATATCGATGTCTCGATCGTCGTCGCTCATCCTTATCGCGGAGTGTCCAAGCTTGGTCCTGAAAACGAAAGAGCCAGTTTCGTCGCCTGCCCTCGGAACCTACAACCAGTTATGTGACAGTAAACGAGGAATAGAAAACAGACCACGGGTCTGTTCTTTTCAGCTGCACTGCTGCACTAGTGCAATAAGTTAGAAAGAGACAAACATACTTTCCTTCACTCTAACTAATTGCACTAGTGCAGCAATGCAGCTGAAAAGAACAGACCCCAGAACGCGATTCAACAAATGATCTGACGTGCGACTCATGTATCATGAAAATACAAGATTGCCATATTTTCGTTTCTTAAAAACGCTCGAGGCGCCCCACATCGGTCATGATTGGAAGCTTCCCAGTATGGCCAATCAAGATCGTTAATAAGTCCATGCAAATTAAAAGTTACAAACAATTTAAAAATTACTATATTTAAAAGTGCAAATTAAAAATTACTATATTTGAAAATATTCAAATGCAAAAAGATAACTTTGTAGAAAACATTGTCTTTACAATAGTAAAAAAATTATGGAGCTAATAATAATAATAATGACAAAATAAATGCGGCAACTTCAAGAGGATAAAAGTCTAAATAGAACTTTTTACATTTACATATATAAGTGATTTTTCAAATAATTCTTTTAATTTTTTTATGTGAAAAGAGACACAGGCTATTCTGGGAAACATGAATATAGGTAAGTCTTGATTAATTAAAAGTAAACTGAAGAAATGGATAAAAAGTTCTTTTGACATAAAAAACAATATATAATAATAATAATAATGATCAATTAATAGAAATAACATCAATGTAATGATTGATGACAATTCGTAAAACCTGAAAATGCTTTTAATTTTCAGCACAGCGACCCACAATGAAAGGGTGGTCGATAATTGGTAGAGCTATTCATTCAATTGGAGCTATTCAATCGAGAGCCTATCTTAGTACCGTGTCCCTTTTACCAGGATTATACAAGGGTAGCTTATCCTTTCGTATAGGCAAAGGTGGCTTCAAGGTATCACAAGTTAAAATCAATCAAAAAGTTTGTCTTGAAAAGATGAATCTTGTATACAATAATTGTGAAAATCTATATAATTAGCCAAAAAAATAATGATAATCATATAAAATTAAAAAGAGATTGCAAAAGAGATATATATTCAGTTTTTTTCAAAATAAACATAGATTTCATTAATTACTATGACTATATATATATATATATACATATATATATATATATATATATATATATATATATATATATACTAAATGACGATATACTAAATATAAAAAATTATGGAAATTATTTGAGAAATGATTTCAGATTCCAAGATATCAAAATACTTACCGCCTTGAGCCATACAAATCTTTCAAGTACGAAACCGTTGACCTAATATTGATCGATGTGATGCGAAATTATTTAAGTGGTTTGAAATATCACCCTGAGACATGTACGCAAATCTGTCAGAAAATGTCGGCAGAAGTACGCGACAGAATTTGCAGAAAGAATTACGATCGGTAACCTACCAATCAATTAAACAGACACAATAATTACATTTAATCATAGTATGCATCTTAAATATCTACAAAATGTTTTCTCTCTCCTTCCTTGTATGGATTCAATTAGAAATAATTCGAGCGCATTCGAGTAAAATTGAATCAGTTCGAGTTAATTTATCAAATTTAGCGAAATATTTACATTTTTATTACTACATATCTTAATTAATTAATCCTAAATGAGTATTGTATATAAAAAATATTTAGTAATTACATCACTTGAAAATGTGTGTGCTGCAAAGAATCTGTATCTTAAATTCGAGCAGTACTTGTAATTTATTTTCTCCTTGTTTCCAGATACAAAGTTGTAATCGTCATGTCGATCGTCCAGAAATTAGGCCAAGACGTGCACATCGGTTTTGGCAAATTATGGGACGTTCAGAAAGATACTTACTCGACCCACGTGATCGAGACTCCGGAATTCGCTGCGATGGGCCTTGTCGTGGGTACTTATTACGAATGAACAAATCAAACAAAAAAATCGCTGAAGGTGTGTCAATTTGGTGATGATGAGCATTAAATCCTGGAACATATTAGCTTCGAATTAAATGAAGGTAACAAGTGTTTAAAAATATGAAGAGAAAAATGTACTCGAAAAATCAACTCGACTCAATGTTTGGTGATGCATTTTTGGTTGAAGAAAGGATCAATATCCGTGATACAAACTAGATCACGTGTTTCACGTTTTCTTTATTGTTATTAAATTAATATATATATATATATATATATCATTCGCGTATATATATATTCTTTTATATATATTTATATATTTATATATTTATATATGTGTATGTATATAACAGCGACAAGTACAATGTATAGTTATGATTATTAATAATAATCGTAATCGAAGGGCACCGATGAATATAGTGAAAAACCGAGGGCGAGATAATCATTGTAATGATATTAACAACGACAATAATAATAATGGGCGTGATAATGGTAAATGTGATGATGATGGTAATGATGATGTGATCATAATAATAAGTTATCTCGAGCTTCAATTTTTAATACAGTCGTATATTCCCTTAAAGTCCGTCCTTAATACTTATATCGCGCTTTTATTGATACAGGGATACAGAAAAATAATACCGCGCGGCCGTGGTGGAATGTTCTTAAGTCGTATTATAATATACATATATATAATATGTATATATGTATAATATTTATATAAAAGAGGCGCGAGAGCGCCTAATTAATTAATTACAAGCCAGCGCCGCCGCGCCGGCGCTCGTCTTATTTACACCGCAAAAATCAAGCAAATTAAGAAAGGAGACGAGAGACCGACCGAAAAATTCATTATACGCGAAATCGAATCGCTAATCTTCGAAATCACAGAGCAATATGAAATATTTATACTCGCCTTTGCTTTTCCTTTTGTTAAAATTTTACAAATGTCCCCCCAAAGCTGCGAAAACTCTCTCTCGTTTAACGCCTCTCAATTTACGTAGTTTACATTACTATTTACGTATATACATCTGTAGAAATGAAAAAAAAAATCCAGAAACATACCCCGTTAACGGTGGCTGAGGACGATCACTATAAGAACACTAAGAGTCATACAAAAATATCTGTCTTAAGGATATTCTAGACAGCAGTTCAACCATTGTAGGCCGAAACAGAAAGATTTCAAAAACGAATAAAAAATCTCAACTTGAAAGTCTATTTGGCCATTTAATGAAATTCTTGATTTCGAAGATTGGGGATTATTTCGCAGAGAAAGAGAATCTCTCCGTAAAACTACCCCCGAACTCGCTCGCGCGGGTTTTCACGGGGGAGCTTCTCTTCGTAATAATCGAGATTCATCGTAGAGTTTTTTTACTTACAGTCCTACCTGCCGATCAATTTTACACGCACGAGCTGCACTATGTAAATCCTTGGTCCATTTTTGACGCATACGTTTATTTACAAGGTGAAACGCGCGCGCGCTCGCGCGCGCGGCGGCGATGGTTTGCCGCATCGCAAAAAATGGCAAGTCAATCGCGCGATCGGAGACTTTATCGAAAGCATATAAAGATAAATCTTTTTTTCTCTATTTTCCTCTCGCACATCTAAAATATAAAAGAAAATAATACGTATACATAAAGCGACAAGAATGAGATTCCTTCACCTGTGAATTAAAATTTGCCACAAAAAATGTACAGAAATTGAACGAATTTTTTAGCTCTTTAATTTTTCAATCCTGTAAATATCGAATAATTAAAGAGAAAGAATTAAAAAATTGTACATATTCATATATTTGTAGAGGACAATCTCTCTTTTAATAATTGCTATTTTTATCAATTTTCAGTGCATTGGAACTAGCATCAAGACGAGATTTGTTTGTTCAAGAAAAAAGATAATTCTGTCATGAACAATAGAATGTTTTAAAATTCCTTCGTCTGCCCAAAAAACTTCTTACTCGCTTGTAATTAAAAAATCTATAAAAACCTATTGTAAAAAAATTATTCTAAAATATAGACAATATTATCAAAAACATTAATGAGCTGCTACTTTTCTTAATTTGGCTTCTTTACAGTATGGCTCAGTGACAATAGGCGATTCCTGAAACAATCCATGTAATGAATTCCATCAAAAATGTCATGTTACACAGCCGTAAACTACATCAAATTAATTATGCAAAATATATTCGATCGCGCAAATCGCCCGCAATTTTTGGGGGTTCTACAACAACCATAACCGAGATGAAAACGCCTTTTCTTTTCCCTCTCTCTCTCTCTCTTTTTCTCTCTTATTCACTTTTTCTTCCTCTCTCTCTCTCTCGCACGCACATACACACATACCCACATACACACACACACACATACACACACACACATGCACTCTTTCACTGTCGCTTCCGCAAGAGAAGGCGAGACATTCCACCTCGCCGTGATCGGTATGGAATTATCGAAAGTTCTCAATTTATCTATCTCCGTCGTGTATACATGTATGTGTATATACGATTGTTCGTACGTTCGTGTATACTGTTTGCGTGTATCGTGTGTTTGTTGCATGCTATTATCTGTATATGACACATTTACAATAATAACAATACGTTGCTCATCATCGATTCGCCTTAACTCGCGTATGTATACGTTTAATATTTATATATATATAATTCGAAAAAAAGTTTATAATAGGGCGGTGGATCTCAAACACACGCGCGCGCGCACTCACACACACAGAGCTTCTTTTTTCTCTCCTTTTCCGTATCCTCTTTCTCTTCCTCCGTGCGATTATCAAATCGTATATCACAAAGTTTTCAAAATGCACGGTTTGAATTAAGCGCGAGCGTGATAGCAATTATAATCGGTATGTGTGATACGCTTGTAATCAGCATTTTCTACATTAAAATAATAAACACGCGCAATAAAATATATCATACGTACATAGGAAAATACATCGTACAAATAAAATATATGCGATAATGCATTTCATTAATAATATTTTGCTCGTAAATTTATTTTATCTATTTTACATTGAATATTATTCAATTCAAAATTATTTGCATTCAAAAGTATTTGCTTGCAAATATTATATTTTGTTATTTAAAATCGTTTTAAGTGACTGAATAAATAATGCATTTATCTTAATTTGAGATCATAGTCAAATATAATTTTACTTGCAAAATTAATTTAAAATAGTTTCTATAATAAAATGACATGATGTAGCTACATATAAGGCATCGCAATGAATTATAAAATAGTATAAGATAGAGATTAAAATCGCTATTCCGACCACAAATTTAATTATTCATGTCACTTAGATATGAAAAAAGGAACTCCCATTATTATGAAATGCTAGCAATCTGCTATTTCTTCCTTTATTTTTAAATAAGAAGAATGATGCGGATTTTCTAGATTGAAATCAACAAATCATCTCGCGTATATATTATATGTCGTGTATCTGTTTTCTCCACCGCCTCTCTTATCTATCTACTCCCTCGCATTATCGCAAATATGTATTTACAGACTTCAAAATTGATTAAGAATTCTGATATTCGCGCCTTCCTTTCTCTCTTTCTCTTTCTCTCACTCTTTCACGCCATTATAAAAAATTGATTCGTTTCACCTTAAATCGTTAACACTTTCCTTCCGCCTCCTCTGCCTCGGACTATCCTTTCCCTCCTATTCTCGATAAGGAGCGTATCCCCTGAATACCAATCAAACATCTCACTGTTATTTTTCACGACATTGCAAACATTTTGTACTACATTTTATATTACAATTTCATGAGAGAGAAATTTGGCATTATCAAAATGTAATATAAACTCCAGTTTTGTGAGTGTTATACTTAAAATGACATTGTTAAAATATCGTGTAAAGGAGTGATCAATTGCGTATAAAGTTATTAATATTGTAAAGTTTAATGTGTTACTATAACTAATATTATTATATACAATATAACGAAAAAGGCAAAATTAGGAAAAACGTACTTTTTTCGACTAGAGATAAGAGAAAGAAATTCCACAATTTTTTTACCCATTTCTATAAATACATCAAGTTTCATCACAAAATCGGAGAGAGACAAATCTTGCTTACAACGAGCTATTGATTGGTATCCAGTTGGTGAACATCGACCGATCGTCCCTGCAGGAAGGCTCGCGGCCGTCGCGGTGCTACGAAAAATATCTCCAAGGTCAAGCCATCACAGACAATAGTTCCGGATGTCGGAGGTGCGGGGGACTATATTGTGCAGAGACGAAAGACGTGTGCACTTTCAAAGTTCTCCCTAAAGTTAACTTACTAAGGTCGTTCTTACAACAGTAACAAGACTCGATCCTATTTACAATTGCAACTTTTTTCTCCTCCTTTCTCTTATTAACACACACCTTGAGGAGATGGATGCTACCACGTCAAACTTTGCGGAATCCCAAATAATCCATGGAGCATCCCATCCGTTATCATTAGCGGGTCATTCAAGAAATCCATGTATATATATTTATATATATTATATACACACACACACACTCCGTCGGCGATTCAGAGTCCTGGGCTCCCTCAAGGCCCGCTGAGCCTCAGCCAGCTCACGTTGGGAGCCAATCACTACGCTGGGACTTAATAATGTTAAGGCATCGTCGTGCGTCGACGAACACGAGTTCCTCTCTGACGTTCGTTGGCAGTAGCGAAAATGTCGGTCGGGTTCCATCACCTTCACCCGCTCGATCCAGGCACTATCAAACCCCCATGTCCCCCGAATGCACCATGATATCACTCTCGCGGACGATCCAAAAATGATCGTTGATCTTCAAAGTTCGGGAAACGTCGAAACTTTGATGATAAAAGATTTTGTTTGTGAAATTTCAAAAGCTCGCTGATCCGATTTGTTTCATCGTGGAAGTACAATTGTTAAATAATCGGATTATTCTCAAAGTTCGCGACATTGCAACATTAATCCTTCACAATCTTCAAAGCTTGACAATCCGGATCGTTAAATATTGACTGGAGGCCAAAGAGACATTTCCTCTTCACTGGAGATGAAGAGATTCCTTTGGATTTCTCTTCAGTTTTATCGAGGAAGGCAAGAAATTATTCTTCTGATACTTTTTTTTAGCTTTTTTAGAGAAATCCAGAAAATCTTCCACTTGTAAATTTTTCTTTGATTGAGAATTAAAGATATCTATGATCTTCTTCCAAACTTTATCCAAAATTTAAAAAACTCTCTTCGATTTCTTTCGAAAACTTTCTCTCTCTTTCTCTTCAATTTCTTTAAAGATTCAAAAAATTCTTGTTTCAATAGTTTTTAAAGATTCAAGATTTACGAAAGATTTTCTTCTTCTGATCTTCCAGTTAATAAAAAAAAATATTTATTGATCTTCCAGTTTCTTTAGAAATTTAGGAAATTTGTCTGACTTTGCATTTAGCTTTCGCAAAAATCGCATAATTTATTCTTCGATCTTCCTTTCAGCATTCCCAAAGATTTAAAAAATTTTCTAATTTTGTTCTGAAAACTTTCTTCTTTCTTCTTTTGTATAATTACGAGCTTTTAATAATTTCAAGGATTACGAGCTTTAGTTATCCATAAAACGAAAATATCCTTGAATCAGTTTTAAGTTCTGATCTTGTGTCTTCGGGATTCGATGAGGAGACTCGCCAAAATCAGCGCGGTGAATGATGGTGTATTGTAGTGATGTGCGCGATGATGAGAAGCGTAAAGACGGGGGCCGAACGGAACAATTTCGCGCTCGACTATGAACCGCGGCCCCGTGTGTCATACTTGCTCCTCCCGTTTGAAATTGATGTTCTGAGACGCGCAAAAGTCGCGGGTAAATGGCACGCAATTGAACAGTTTACACACCTCGCACTCATACACTGGCACATTGTAAAAGAGGGCGAGCAACAGGGCGAACAAGCCCACGATCAGGATCAGGCATACCCAGATGAGCAGTATCTTCCGTCTACGATCGTAATGACCGAAGGAAATAAACGGCATCAACGCGTAGGCCGCCAAGAAGCCGAAGATGAAGCCGAATAAATGCGCATAATTGTCCACCCACGGGAGGATACCCAGCATCAACAATCCCACCAGGATCAGGATTAGCTTAGACAGTGCGCGACGTGGGTGTTTTAGCATCGGCCAGCAATGCAATACTTCGACCACCAGCGTAGCCAGCAGTGCGAAATGCGCACCAGCTGGACCGACCTGCAAACGAATCATTATTGATAAGTAAAAAACAAAAATTTGCTTCCGCTAATATGCATCGAAAAATGAATTAAGAGTATTTAGAAAAAAAAATAACAAATGTTTGTAGCAATAACTCAAATTAATCAATGTTTTAGATAGGCAATTATTTATCAACAGTTCGATATATAAAAAATAAATGCATAATTTTGAAAAAAATAAACCGTAATAATCGTAAACAAATATATCGAAAACAAATATCGACAATAATGTAACAAACTGCATTTTAATCGTTTGCATTAACAACAGAAATTTATTATAATTTATATAATGATATGTGTATCATAAAATTCAAGAAAATAAAATAATAATTTTAACAAACCTTAGTTTTTTTAAAATTAATTATATCAAGTTTCTTTAATAAATATAAAATATTGTTTCAGATGTTTCAAAAATTAGACTATATAAATACGGTATAATGTATTTTTTACACAAAGCAATATTATTAATATCATATTGGAAACTTACTTCTGCCCTGTAAGGGACAAAGATTGCGCTAGCCAAATTTCCAGCAAGAGCACCAATAAAATAGATCAAAGCAATGCGCAAAGATCCTGTCAGCTTTTCCAAGTCTCTCATCAGAAAATACTGGATCAGTAATGTGATTACCAAATGGACGATTCTGCAATATCAAATTAATAAGATAAGTAAATTGATTTTATTTCCTCGGAATTTATTGATCTTCTATATACTGAGATAAATTTCTCAGTCGATTTTATTTTAATGAAGATAAATAAATTGCTTCTCAAGTTTTGCGAAATATATTATCGCGATAAATAAATCGATTCCCCGATAAACCTCATCAGAATCTCAATTTATTGGAATAAAAAGCGGTGTATATATTTTTTCTCTTTAAATTATAACTTAATTGAATGAATAAATTGATTTTGTGCATCTATGTACGATTGAGGCTGAATTTATTAAGATAAATATAAAATCGATTCTGCTGCCTTAAGATAAATATCGGGATAAATGTATCGGTTTTTTTTATTTGTTGATTTTTTTATTACCCGGCATGAAGAAAGATGGTGGTGAAGAGCCTGTAAAACTGGTCCGGCCATTCCGGATGCAAGAACGGTATCATTCCACAGACGTCATGCAAACATTCCACCTGCGAGCAAAGCGACGCCTCCTCGTGAAAGTAACCGTGGACGAAATCGCAGTACTCCTTCGTGGTGATCCGACACATCCCGTGAATCCCGATGCAACACGGATGACCGATTATCTCGCAAACCATGTGTTCCGCCATCTTATCCTTATAACGGCCGATGGGAAAATTGGCGTTGCCCCGTTGATTTGCATTTTTGCTATCGAGAATTTTTTCATTAATTTTCACCGTTTATTTACTCTTTGCAAACGTCCTATTTTTCCCGGTGATATTTTATTACTTTCGATGATAAACGCGATAGATAAGGTAAAAATATTAACCTGAAACGATGATTAAAAGGATTGGTTTTCCGGCAGATCGGCCATTTGGTAATGTCATCCGGCCATTCATAAGGTGCGACGCTTGCGGGGGCGTCGCAGAACTTTGGATCTAACCCGCAAACAGATCCACTGATACGACCGCCAGGCCCATTGTCCCCAGGTCCCCATTTCTTCCAGGTCGAAATTGTGTTCTGCGAAATTTAACATGAGCACAATTGATCAATAAAAGGAATAATTCTTGAAACTTTAAAATATTACTGAATATATTTTCGTTCCCCAAATCAAAACATGCACGAACAAACAGGCTTTGTCTATTTGTGTTTGCAAAAATTAAATATATCATAGAACATAGATAAAAAGTAAAATAAAATATTTGTATTTGTATTTAAAAAATCAAATATAGAATATTTAATTTACAAAATTTTAGAAAACAAAATATCTCTTCAAACGAAAAATAATCTGGAAAGTAAAGTCCTATCGCGTAAGTAAAATATTCGAGCCATTTTATTGAATATCAATATATATATATATATATATATTATTAATCTGTGCTAATCACTGACGTTTTAAAGACACCTGATAATGAAGAAAAAGCACTTAATTAAAAAATTCAAACTTTTTTAGGAAAATATTTATTTTTTTTTCTTTGATTATGTTCAAAATTAAATTAAATATATTTAATTATTTTTTAAATATTTTTTTTCAATTAGATTCCTTTTTATTATTATGATTATCAATAATCGTAATAAGCAAAGAAACACAGATATTTACTCTCTTTAATTTCATTCAAGTGTTTTTTTCAAGTGAAAAAATCGAAGTAAGATTATATAATTTACCGTAACAGTGGATCTCAATCCCCGAACCTGTTGGCGCGCATGGAAGAAAATTACATTACCATGAACACGGCCGTGAAGAGTCACAATAAGGATGTTATACAAGTCTTAAAGATCGAGAAACTCACAGAGCAATCCGCTTTGCTGGATTGAACGCAGCCGGAATCGTCATTTCTGATGCAGCAAGCGGTGTCTCGTTCTCTTTCCCGCCAGACATCGATCTCCTTCAGAATCTTGATGTCCCGACGCATACACGGCGCAAACTTGGCACCAAGATGAATCAGATCCGCGGCCCTAGGGCCCAGCCAGAAGTTTGCAGGTTCTTGGTAATCGACTTGTTGCAACGACAAACTTGTCACGAGAACCTGGATAGAATTCAATGTATTCCTCAATCGTCATTCGACATTTATTTCTTCATAGAATTCCTTATCATTTTACAATTTACTTTTAATCAAATAGAAACTCTAATTTTCTTATTAATAAAAATTACACATTTGATTATGTTTAAAGCATGTATATTCATTTTTTTAATGTGTAAGCAGCATGATTTATTTTGATTCAATGATTAAATCAAAAAATAATATTATCTTACGCAAGAAATTCTTAAATTTATTCTCAGAAAGATTAATTTTTCGATTCCTTTATTTTAATGATCTTTAAAGATGATAATAGAAATTGAATATGAAGTCCATGAATAGTAATTTTTATTTTCTCACCAGTCCTGATCGATGAGCGAGATCCATTCCAACAGGACCAAATCCGTAACATGCCAGCGATATTATCAGAATCAATACTTGCACAGTAGTGATCCAGTACGTGAAATACGGTCGGTGATCTTCAAAGTCGTCCAATTGTTTCTTTATGTCCGGTTTGTGCGCGATGCTTTTTCGAAAAGATCGCCTGAAATAAGGAGGAAAACTTTAAATGAACCGCTTTATTGTGTTAATAATGTGTTTATCATAATTTCGATATTCAGGAGGAGAGAAAGAAAGAAATGTATTTCCGATAAAAAATTATTAAGATACTATGATATCATTATACACATAAAAATCGACTCGCGAAAAATGTAGCATCCTTTTAAAAATATAATAAAATAGCTGTTTTGCTATAAATGTTCGAAGCAAAGATTGCACATAACTTGATAATTACTAACAATAAGATTTATCTTTTATTTCTCTTTTAGATTCTTAAAAAATTCCCCGTCTAAAATACAACTTATAAAATATGAATTTTGATCTTTCGGTTTGTATTTCAATCGTTTTCTCAATTAAGATCATTTTACTTTCGCAAGAATTAATTTAATTAATCGACATAATCAATTAAATCGAGACTTAATCAATTAAAGCCCATAAAGATTGAAATATGAAGCGCACCCGAAGAAGCGACCGACGATGCCCATTCCGTATCTCCGCCGATTGCTGTTGTCGAAGACACGATCAATTGTGCTACGGGAGATCCTCGTGGCCCCAGCTATCTCCCTGCGGAGAGTCACCCCCTCCTCCTGCGGCAACCTCGTACCCTCCGTCGGTGGCGCGTCGTACTTCGACCTGCTCCAACTTGTCTTTCTGTAATCTCATTCTCGTTATACACGCTTGCAAGTTTGTCGGGGAACAACGACAAATCTATTTTGCAAATTGCTTTTGCTCTAACAAGTAGATTTCCCGATCTCGACAAACTCTCGAAATATCCAGACGTCGACAGTTTTTCGATTAATCGTCATCAAAAGCGAAAGAAATCTTACAAATTATTACCGTTTCAAGCATGAAAGCTTCTTTTTCATATTTAATTGATCCTATTATTTCCATGGAATATATCTGACGAGAGAGATTTACATTTTCCACTTATTATTGTAAAAGATAGTCCTCGAGATATCTGCTTTTTTTAAACATAATAAAAATATAATATATGTCACATATTATTGCAATTCTCTTTTTGCGATAACTCAATTTTAACGATAGTAATTTGAGAAATTTTCCGTGTATTATCCGATAATCATATATTAAAAAGACTGTGATATTTAATCCTCTGGAGAACTTAACTGAAAACTAATGAAATGAGCTTTCACCTGGAAATATAATGGTCCCTCGTGATCGAACGGGGTCGTCTAACTTGTCCGTCGATCGTCGTCCTGTCATCCTTTTGCTGCACGAACCTGTGAACGGAAAGCATCTCGCCGTTTAATTTACTCCGAATTAATCTAATCTCTTCCGAGAATTAATTCAATTTATGGCGTTTACTTTTAATAAAGCGCCTACCGCAAAATGTCCTAGTGGAGAACCTACCCGACCAAATCTTCGGAAGTGATCCCTTCGCGATCCTGCGCGGCGTCGAGGACATCCGTGATCTTGACGCCGATCTCCTCGTCCTTGACCAATCCAGGGGCCTGATCGATCTGCGATGTTTGCTGCGACTGTTGAGACGTCGGAGGAGGCGGAAGGGGAGGCGGAGGCGGCGGGGGCCTCTCGAAGAAGGACTGCTCCTCGTCCAGGCCGCTGTCAGGACACGACACTCCCAACTTCATCATATATGAGACCGTGCTCGGCGGGAAGCTGCGCGATTCCAGACGCGATTGCGAGCGCTCGCGGGGACGCTGCCTCGTCATCGTCTGGCAAACAGACAGACGTGCTTCAATCCAATGGATTATATGATATTTGCATTCACGAATACAAGTATGCATTGAGACTCTTCTCATTTTCCGTCCTAAAAGTATCCTCAAAAATCCCACATCGTTTGGAGCGAAATGGAGTCTAGGATTCTAATAAATGCCTAAAAGGATAAAATTATGATTAAACACACAACCTAAATAAATAAAGAAAGTTAGGAAAACATCGTCCTAAAATTCCTACAAAGTAAGATTAAGAATCTTTGGCGAATCGTCCCTACGAAAGATACAAGTAATATAACTGTCTTTAAGATCTTCACGAGAAAGAAGAAATAATTCATCAATAGTCAAAAGCTGAATGGGCTTTGTTTATTGCGTTTAAATTTATATTTAAAAATTCGTGCATTCGTTCCTTTCTGCATATGAAAAAATACTTATTCAAGAATTTTATTTCATAAAAAAAAGAATAAAAAATGGAAGAAGAAGAAAAAAGGAGACGAAGAAGACATTTTCAATATCAATTTACCTACATCAGAATTATGATATAATACACTGTATTGCCTCTGATAATCTATAATTCGCTAGGAAAAATGCGAACACCGCGCAATTTCCGATCGTACATTGATAATGATTAGAAAGCAAAATATATATTGCGTTTAAATTTATATTTAAAAATTTGCGTTCGTTTCTTTCTGCATATGAAAAAATAAAAAAATACTTATTCAAGAATTTTACTTCATAAAAAAAGAAGTAAAGGAAAAGAAGAAAAAAAAAGAAAAAGAAGAGGACATTTGTCAATTTATCTTATTAATTACCTTATTAATTTTCAATATCAATTTACATCAGAATTATGACATAATACACTGTATTGCCACTGATAATCTATAATTCGCTAGGAAAGATGCGAATACAGCGCGATTTTCGATCGTATATCGATAACGATTAGAAAGCAAAATATATAGCGGAATCGACGTTAAAATACCGTGGCTAACGTTAGCACCTGAATTATGTTTCCGATACCGCTAATAAACTGTCGATGCTGTCGAAAGCACGGCTCACACGCGCGGCTGCCGGCCCGTCCACTGGCTGGCCTCTACTACTTACTGGCTGTTAGCAGCCAGTAAGTAGTAAGTGCCAGGCATCCGGCAGCCGATCAGCCCTCGTGTCTGACCGAGCGCTCCCCGCTATCCCTGCGAAACTTTGTAAAACTAACCGTGTTAAGAGGCAGTTTAACCTGCCAACTTCTGCCGATATTGTTTCTTCGGATGTTGCGGCCTTCGGCTAACGAGACGCCTTCGTCCAAGTTTGCGCGTTTATACGGTGTCCCGTAATAAACGAGCGGAACTTCGGTGTGTAATATATTTTCTTATTAAGCGAAAGATTTATCAACAAAGTTGAGGAACACGACGAAACATTTCAAAGCATCGCCAGGCTCGTTTTATAGAGATTTTTACAGGGAAACTTTTTTTTTTATTTCTCCAAAGAAAGAGCCTAGAGCGCGTACATTTTTCAAAATACGCCGTTTAATTACGGGGACGACGATTAACGATCGAGGACCAAGTGCGATGACAATGTAAAGTCGAATGGGTTCGATACGGAGCAATAAACAGGATAAATGTTAATTCCACGCAAGCCGTGCGCGAAATTAAATTCCGTCGAATTTTATAGAAGCGTAGACCCGCTCCTATGGAATTTTTCCGCTTTAACGAACCCGCTATTATCACAAAAGGGAACATGCGCCTCGTCTCGACTCGCTATCTTCATCTGTGTGCTAAATATTTTGATATAAATTCTTTAATAGAACATATCGCAAATATATATTTTTATCTATATTAATACTCTAAATGCACATCGAAAAGAAATTAATATTTTAATTTTAATTCTACTTATTATATTTCGCATGTTCTATCTCCATTTTTTTATTACTCGCAAAAAAAATTACAAAAATTCGTTAAATTTTAATAATTAAAAGTATTGCACTTATATTTTTAATTTACTTTTTCGAGACGATATACGAGACAATTAATATACCCCAAATTAAGCCAATATTGAACATTTTTATTTCGTAAAATTAAATTCTACTACATTTCCCACAAAAGTGAGATGATGATTGTCAATTTGTCAAAAAAACTGTCCGAAGAAGTTTGAAGAGGAGAAAAACACCTATGGAGAAACTGATTTGCAAAAATTCGATCGACATAATTCGGGAGTTTATTAATCCGTACATATATCGAAGTTATTATTAAATACATTATTGGCCGACCATTAATATCGATCGACGATGATGGGTAAACGCGTAATGAGTATTTACTGGGGAATCCATCATTTCACGAGCGTGTAATTAAACATAGATCAGCATAATCCAGCATTAACGACTACGGATACATTGCGTAGTAACAATTTTCAAATGGTTATATAGCTCGTGTATCGACCTCTACGATTCCACTGGGCCTACTGATGTGTTGAAATTTAATTTAATGGGCATTAATTTTTAGGGCATTATATCAAAAGAATCATGGAGCAAACAGAACATATACTAATATACAATACTAATGAGTTTTATAACCACCTTATTTATATACAATACTAATGAGAGAAAGACAGAAATTTCCATATACAATATACAGGATGTAACAAAAAGGCCGGGACATTGGATTATTTCGAAAAATATCAGTTGTACAAAAAAATGTTTCGAAGTTTAAAAGTTGTAGGGCTTGAAATGATCTATTTACTGATCTTATCAGTTTGATATTGGACAGCGTCACCAAGATCAAAACGTCATCTTAAATTTTTTAAATAGAATCCCCTATTTTTTATTACATATTCTTATAGCTTATCCCGAGAGCTTTCCAAAATACTACAATTAAGTTATTTCTCATTAAGTACTTTTCGAGTTATGAGGCTTGAAATAATTTCTTAATTTTACATAAACCATAAAAGATCTAGTAAAATATTCATTTTTAGATTATTTTACTTTAATACTTTTATGTACAAAATAATGAGGGGAATCAATTGTGTAAAGAAAACACATAATTATTTCGAAAAAAAATGTAATTGTTAATTGTCGAAAAGTACTCGATGAAAAAATACTTTATTATAGTGTTTTGAAAAGCTTTTGAGGTAAGCTACAAGAGCTTTTTTAGATTACTCTGACATATATACATATGTCAATCGTTAAAACGTACAATTATGTTCAAGCAATTAATTTGAGAATGAAAGATGAGATGAATTTCCCTCCTTCGGGTATAAAAAAAAGATTTCTCTCTTTATTTATCTTTCGCATAATAATAATGCACGCGACTCGTCGTTTCCGCGAAATTAAAAAGGAAAATAAAAACAGAGGAGACGGAAAAGCATCACAAGCGCGTCACGCGTGTAACGAAGTGTTTTAAATCTTAGAGCGGCGTGTAACGAAGGGAGTAGATTACCCTCGTAACTCGCCCTTTATGCGTTCCGCTCAAGGGACGTAATTAATGGCGGCCGGTGCACGCGTTTTGCACGCGAATTTTTATTAAAATCTACATCGTACGAGAGAGCGCGGGCCACGATGTAATGAGAAGACGGCAGTACCATCTGTTAACGAAAATCTAATAAACTTCATTATTAAGTAAAATCGTTACATTAATTAAGAGAGCGCATGGAACGCGAGTGGAGCACGTTTATATGTCCGCGGCAGCTGGCAGTTTTTCGAACTGGCTTTATTGACTGCTCTTGCCCGGCTATTATATCGTGAAATAGGATGCAATTTTTTGCGTTACAAACTTTTTCAACAGCGACAATAGCGCGGAATTTATCAAAGAGCAGATGGGATAAAGTAATACAATTGGCAGCAATATTATCGTTCGAGAAATATTGTGTGCTGCACAAGAGGAAATAATAAAAAAAAATAATTAATAGAAAATATTTATTATGCTAACGAGAAAAATCTCTCTCTCTCTTTCTCTCTGTATTTCGTTTAAATATCGTACGAACGAATCTGCACGATAAAGATGTTCGTGCGAGCTTTTGTTTCAGATTTATCCGCGCTAAAAAGAGCCTCTCGATTTTAAACAGCACAGTCCGCGTTTCCGCTTAATAAATTTCGTTATTGCGAGACAACACAATCGCGGGAACCGCGGAATTGTGATTCGATCGGGCGGAACGGATCGCGCCAAAATTAATTTACGTTATCCGTTTTTCAGATTTTACCCTCGCCGGCATTTCATACTCGGCTCTCCGATCGAGGAAAAAAGCAAAATACAAAAATTCCAAAGTATAAATTTAATAATTTTTATATAAGAAATTATAAAATTGTGTCTTTATACATGTCATTGGGGATTCCTGAACAGAATCGAGTCAACTCAAAAAAAATCAGTCGAAATGAAGTAATTAAAGCTATAAAAAAATCGCAATTTTCATAGAATAATCTTTTAAGGAATAACAAATTTTTATATCTAAATATTATTAATATTAAATATGATTAATATTAATATAATATTAATATTAAATATCATTAAAGAAATTATTTAATAAAGAAATTATTTAAATAAAGAAATTTATTTAAGAATATTAATTTATTTATTTTAGAAATTAATTAATTAATTTAAGAAATTGATTTATTTATTTAAAAAATTAAATTATTGAAGAAATTAATTTATTTAAGAGAATAATATTAATTTATTAACGAAAAAAAATAAATTATCCGGCTAGCTCGTAAAGCGCATCTTTCGAAAAATCATTTACAAGTTATTAACGTTTCGCAAGTACTCGGAGCAGAATATCTTATTGCGTAACATAATTACGAACGACCGTGAATACTTTCGATTTGAAAAGGACTTTCAGACTGCGATCATGCTTTCTAGGTCGGGCATGAAATATTTTAATAGTTCATCGCGTATATATGTACGAAAGAGAAACACACTTCCCTCCAGCGATACATGCTCCAGGCGTTGTCCGGCTAGTTCAAGTTAAGTGGTAAGTTTTGAAATATGGCCAGCCCCGCGTTTGCAGCGCAGGAAGAATGCATTGCGCAATGCGTATATACATATATGTAACATCCGCTCGATATATTCGACCATGGCCAATCAAAGCGCCGCAAAAAAAAAATATACAAATCCGAACGTATTTCAGAATAATAGACAAAACATCGTCAAAATTTTAATCCAAGAGTACAAAAAATTCAATCTCCAAAATCTGTATTGATACTACTAGTCTCTCTATTTCAAGCCTAAAATTAATATTTTCTCTGCCTTCTTAAAGTAAAAAAGCCGCTATTGAGGCCGCTTAAAAATGACGAAAAAAAAAAAAATAACGATAATAATTTTGTCGCGTTCGATTACTTTCGATGAGTCAAATATTACGCAGCATAATATCTCTAAAATAATCTAACGGGTAGTAAAATACTTGAATAATTCAAAGGTAAAATCTTGTCTTAGCTCGGCGAGTGCAAAGTTTGCATGGCCGGAAATAAGCCCTTCTGGCGTAAACTAAAACCAAAGTTACGTAATGGAGCGACGGGCGCACGGGTCGCTCCACTTTTATGACCGGAATTACTCCCTACTTTGGCTAATCTAAACTTTAAAGTTAATGTAACGTAATTCAGCAAAAAGGTGGTTTACACCCGGCCAGCTAATTACGCTAAGAACGCACCGATTCGCCTCGCGATCTCACGAAAAATTCATTCCGCGGGTTCAACGAGTCCTTTCGACGATCCTGATGCGAAAAATTCTACACGCACTATAGGCAATACTGTCGAAATATCAAATGAGAAATTAACGAAATTAATGAAAGATTTTTAATTTAAGCTAAGATTTTTAATTTTTAATTAACGAAATAGATTTTTAATTTTTAAGTAACGAAACAGATTTTTAATTTAAGCTAAAGTTTTTAATTTTTAATTTAAACTAATATTTTTAATTTTTAATTAGTAGATTTTTAATTCGAACTTAAACAGTTGAAAGTGAGAGCGAATTAATGACTCACCTCGACGATGTAATGGAGACCCGACAGTGTCATCCTCGCTACAGAATCTTTCCTCCGTACCGGTTGCTGCCATCGTCTGAGAGTCACACTCTGTGAATATTTAAAAATGTGTTTTAAGGCTAAAATTAATATTTTCTCTGCCTTCTTAAAATAAAGAAGCTGTTGAGCCATTAAAAAATGACGAAAAAAAAAAAAAAAAATAACGATAAATTTCTTCCTTTTCCGCAATTCCTCAAATATCCCAAATTTCTTCTCGCTAACAAAAACTGCTTGAATAATATTATTATTGTTCTCTTTGATTACTCGTTAAATTATTTTACAACAGCCTCAAGTTTGTAATTAATTCTTAACTTTATCACGAACTATATCATCTTTATCAAAGATTGATTTGATCCGATTTCAAGTTTACTCTTCCAACGTGATACCTCTTGATTTACTCCGCCTATTGTGCGCAATCAACTTGTCGATTGTTATGGGGTTATCGCGTTATCGTTAATGTGATTGCAATCGCGTTAGAACGCACATCCTCTCATGATATAATGCGTTTACCTCCGGTGTCTCGGTCGTGTCCGGCACATCCCTGGTGATGTCCGGATCCGGGGGCTTGTGTTCCGGTAACAACGCGCCGTACTTCCTCGACGCCATACGTCGTCGTCGGTCCAGCCATCTCTGCTTCTCCAGGGCCTCCGATTCCTCGTCAACCCCGAAGAACTGCGCTGTCTCGCGTCTGATGTAACTGCAATGTTCGACAACGTTTCACGCATCTGATCGGATTCACCGCTATTGTTTTGAGTGCTACTTGATCTCGCTCTCATCGAGTAACGTTATCGGAAACTACTCACTTTCGGATAGCCTCGGTGCGGCTCTGGTTCCTCCTGAGTCTCGGCCGTTGGGTCGCCGAGGTGCTCGCCGAGGAGCTGCTGATCTGGACCAGCGGACGTGGCGCACTCGGCGCGGAAACGCTCCTGGTGATGCCGCTGACGTTTCCGGTAGCGATAGAGACGCCGGAAGTGGTTGATGGCACGGTCGCCGACGCCGTCGTCACCGGCGTCGCCGTCGTCGCGGTAGAGGACGACGCGATGCCCACCGGGTACATCCCGATGCTCTGCGTCGCGTCGCCCTCGCCGGTCGTCGATGATACCGTCGAGGTGCCCGTCGTACCCGAACTCGGTGATGGTTGCCTGAAAAGATAGAAGAGACGAATAACGTTACTCATCATCTGTATCATTTTGTTTGGAACTGGAGTTGCTGTAGATGAAAAGAGATTATTTATTTATAAGGGATTTTTTTTTATTGAAATAAAAAGGAATTTTGGGGTGATTTTGAAGAGAAGGAGAGCACATATTTTTTGTGCAATATTGAACAATATCGATTAAATATATAAATAAATAATATCTAAATAATAAATAAATAATATGTAAATAATAAATAAATATATCTATAATAAATAAATAATATTTAAATAATAAATAAATAATATTTAAATAATAAATAAATATATCTATAATAAATAAATAATATCTAAATAATAAATAAATATATTTATAATAAATAAATAATATCTAAATATCTAAATAAATATATAAATAATATCAATTAATTTCACACTCATAGAACGCAATTATAATGCAAGTATAATGCAAAAAACAGATATAAACATCGCAAATCACTAGATTCGCTATCGAATGAAAAATGAAAAGAAATTGAAGACCGATTGAATTCCGATCTTCTAAAATCGAAGTCGTATCATTTAATATCCGGTAGCAAAAATTCAAACACTAAATGACGATTCCGCAATTTTAGAAAATTAGAATTCAATCGGCTTCCAATTCCTTCATTTTACAATATTCCGATAATTTAATCAGCAAAGTTTATTCGCGATACGTTTCTATGATATAAATAAAAGAATTTTTTTTATCAATTTAATAGCAAGGAATTTGCCTGAAATAAATAAAAATTTTGATTTAATTTTTTTACAAAGAAAGAAAACAGAAAGAAATTTGATTGCTGCGCTCATTATCAACTTGAGGGGGATTCAAGATTATAAATTATTTTAAAATTACGTCATTAGCGATAAATGAAAAAATTGCTGCATTTACGTAACGTAGGGAAACGCACGTATTTCGGAAAATATACGTACGCGCGGCTGGAACGCGGAATGATTTATACTGACGGAGATAAAAAAGGAAGACCGCGCCAGGAATTTCCGCGACGCCACATTTTTCTCGCGGCAGCGGCAGCTGCATCCCTCGCCTGCATTCATTTAGGCAGAGTGCAGTATCGGGGGAAGAGGAAGAGAAGGAGGAGGTGAAGAAGGGAGTCGATATCGCGTGCATCAAGGGTAATTAATGACAAGCCGTTTCTTCTTAGACACGCTGTCGCCTCGAACGCACGTGCCGTGTTAGTTAATTTTTTTCCCCGGGAAAAACTGGAGTGAAATTTTTTTTTTTAATCCGACACAACGCAAATTCCAAATAAATTGCACAGAAAATACGGTTAAGGTATTATTTACGGTCCAAGCGACCAGAGCCCCAACAACCGCAACGCGAAAATGTGCAAAGCGCTCGATTAATCGCGAATTAATGACGCTATGCGAGTTTGCCAAAGATCCCGACAATAAATAAAAATTGGCGAAAAAGAGAAATTCGCAGACAAGAAGAGATATGTTGGGAAATAGAAAATGGAGTAAATAAGCACTTAAATTTCTCGATACTAAATCTTTCAGTGACGAAAAAGATGGACTATCGCAGCAAGTCGAATCACGTAAAAACGTGCAAAAATGGGACTTGTCGAGACGAAATTCGCTGAAAGAATGTCGCGCCACGAAATCGTCTCATGAATAGATGAGGAGAGATAGAATTGAGGACTTCGCCGAGCTTGCAGCTTTCATACAACTTGAATTCGCGCGAGAGTGCATAAAAAAAGCGATGTTGTCAAATGCTAAATCTCAGATATGCCCAGGAGAACTTATAAATTTACGATTAAAGGGAACATTTATATTATAATATAGAAAAACAAAATTATTTGATTTTTGATATATTTTTCCTTCTCCAAGTTCCACTTAATCGTCACGAAAAATTAAAGCATTTCATCCACTAAAAAACCTTTTATTAATAAATTTTTTATTAAAATCTTTTATTAATAATTAAATTAAACATGTTTTTTCTTCTCCAGATTTTACTTAATCGACACGAAAAATTAAAGCATTTTTTATATCATTAAAAGGATCTTTTATTAGTCTTTATTAGTCTTCTAATAATTCCTTTTATTAAAATCTTTTATTAATAATTAACTTTAAAAATATAATATTTATGCCTAATGTAATTGTGCTCCGACAACCATCGATATTGTTCCTTCCTCTCTGTCTTTTCGCGCGATTTACCTAATGTAGGGATAAATTAGCCGTCTAGCGATAAATTCGAGTAAGATATTGGGGAGCGCAAGCGCAGATTGTATTTTAGCGTCTCGCCACCCGCAGTGTTTGTTAATAATTTCCACGCCATCCCGGAAACTTGCCAGCAAGGCGCGAAGGAAGTTCCTATCGAAGAAATACTCCGATCGGAAGAGCTGCAACGCGCGACTCCTCGCGCCAAGAGACGCCGCTTCGGCGGGTATCTCTCTCGCAGGTAGGTACTTAAGTTCATACGTAAGTTTCAACATAAATACAGCGTCTTGCTTCCGCTTGTTTCGCCGCCTCGACCCGGAAATTAAGGACGTCGCGAAGCTCGCTCGCCCGCCCAATTTCATTAGCCCATTTCGATTCGATAAGACGAGCGACCGCGGATAAATGCACAGGTCGATGATAAATTAGTATGTCGTGTATAAATAAGCGTACGATAAATTAAAACGACTGCGCAGGATGTTCTGGAATAATTTATTCCGCAGAGGTATTTATACATGAGATAACACAAGATTGTAACAGATTTTTAAAAAGTTCAGAGATCGAAATCGTGCAGGAAAAACTGCTAAGAATTCATTTATGTGACGGAGATAGAAAAAAAAAACCTCCGGAAAATTTTTAAAGAATTAGGAAAAGTCTAGGATAAGGAAGAAAGATAGTTTGAGAGAAGTGAGAGAAGAAAAAATAATTAAACTACCGGAAGAAAGGAGAGGAGATTAGAGAAATCTGAGAGGAATCAAGAGAGGAAATAGCTGGAAAGAAACTGGAATAGATCTGATGGACCTTGTAGAACAGCTATAACGAGGGGAAGGAGGGAGGAAAGGGGGGAAAAAAGGAGGAGCACGACTTCAGGAAGGTAGACTCAAACGGCCCGATGGACTGCTAGATGTCGACAGAGACCGAGGCACGTCTAGAAATGAGTCGGAAGAAACTGCAACGAGCCGAGGAGTGACTGAAGCGGACGGAGAGAAATCGAGCGAAAAGAGGACCAGGGGGGAGGAAACGGATTGGGAGAAGATGAAATGGAACAACGGAGGCGAGTCGAGGGGAGAAGGGAGGCTGCTATCAGTACGTATGTGTCATCCGCGCGGAGGAGAGACGGGGCTTAGGTAAGCACGAGGGAAGCTACCACCTATGAAGCGGTAAATAGTACAGCGACGATGCGACCCGGGTTGTTTTTCACGCGAGTAGATTTTTACAACGCGAGATATTACCCTCTCCTGCCCTTCTCCCTCCTCCTTTTCGACCCTTCTCGCCACCGCGCCACCCCTTTACTGACTTTAGCAGGGTGTGGCCTCCGTTCTGCAGCTTTCACACGTCGTTTTTTTACCGCCCGAACGGGCTCTACATCCCTTCGAACTGTGTGTGTGTGTTGGACCCTTGTCTTTAATTACCGTTTTCGTATCTTCATTAATCACACGATGATACCGCTATAAAGCGACTCTCGACGATTATCTGTTTCTTCGTTTGACATGCGCACCCTCACGTTCGCTTAATTAGTCGTTTGATGTAAAGCCGATTCTGTCCGCGCGACTCTTCACTACTCGCTTTGCGACTCGCCATTTTCACGCGCAATGTGCGTGTCACATATCCGCGCATTCAAGCTCTTTTCATCTCCACAAACTTTTGCAATTTCATTTTCCATTTATTTTCATCTGATAACTGTAATTCCAGCTAGTCGACATAATAACATAAAAGCTTGTTCTAAAAAAAAAATAAATTCTATAAAATGTATAAAGTTTATTTAATTGCGAAATATATATTTTTGCGAAAATTTATTTTTATTAATAAACTATATTCCCGAAAGATGTTTACGCGCAATAATTTTGTAATTATTTATACCGATCGCCAACATTACATTCTTCGGCAATTGCCTTTTTATTTCCTGAATATTATTCATGAATATACTTTTATCGATACATTTTTTTGTATTATCAATATACAAATTTAAATCCAGATTTTCCATCGCTCTTTCTCGACACAGTTGCAATTTTTTATGATTATGTTTGCATGTAATTATAATTAAATCGATAATTAAATTGATTGATGCGGCACAAATAACATCATAAATTTCATTTCGTTTTAATATAATAAACAAATATAATATTCCTTTTTGTTATGATATCCGAATCTTTAAAAAATAGTTGTAATTTAGTTTCAATATGTAATCGTAAAATAAGATTTTTATTGCTGTGTTAATGTTCCCCATTATTATAATTCATTGATAAAAATATAAAAAAATTTAAATTATATAAATAAAAAAATACAATTAAAAATATAATTATAAAAATAAAAATTTTAGTTATAACTATACCTTCTATATTCTTTATCATATAATATTCTTCATCATAAATATTCTTTATCATAAATTTTGTTTCGTTTTTTAATATAATATTCCTTTCTTTTTATGATATCCGAATCTTTAAAACATAGTAATAATTTAGTTTCAATATGTAATCGTAAAATAAGTTTTTTATTGATGTGTTAATATTCCCCATTATTATAATTCATTAATAAAAATATAAAAAAATTTAAATTATATAAATAAAAAAATACAATTAAAAATAAAATTATAAAAATAAAAATTTTAGTTATAACTGCACCTTCCACATTCTTTCATTGTACATTCTATCGATATATTTTATGCCGACGAATCGTGAAAAAACTCAAATGTTATACGTAAGTGTTACGTACTTTTAATCGCTTTACTTGTTTCCACGCTGGCGCTTTAAGAAAAATGCAGCTTGAAATAAACGTAGCCACGAGAAACTAAAGTTTTCA